GGGGGGGGGGGGGGGGGGGGGGGGGGGGGGGGGGGGGGGAAGAAGATAGCGTGGAGCTGGGATCGCGTGGGGAATCCAGGTCGGGGAATGGGGCACTTTGGGCGCCACGACCTCCGGTCAGGCAGCCACAGTATGCTGTAGCTCCTCCTACGGTTGCAGGTCCCACCGTGACGATGCAGCCGATAGGGCAACCCTTTACTCCCCAGTTTGGCATACCCATATCAGGCGGTCTAGTAGCACGTAGTAGTGGGCAGGTTCCTGTACAGCCTTCTTCATTTTCTCAACTGGTGGTTGCCGCTACAGGGCAGCCACAAGTGCAACAACCTTTGCAACAGGGTCCGCAGCCGYAGCTGCAGCAACAACAGCAATTGCCGCCCCAGCGACCTGTCCCACCGGTTTTACAACCGATGCAGCAGGCACAAGGAGTTGTRCCACCCATGCAGTGGACACCCAAGATACCCTTGYTGAGTCCTAAACCCTTCTCTGGCGACAATAAGAAGGAAGAGGATTTGGATACCTGGGTGAGAATTGTGCCAACTTATGTGAGGCACGAACTGACAAAAAAAAAAAAAAAAAAAGACACAGGAGGAAGTTATTGTCGCTGCGTCCTATCTAGAAGGATCTGCAGCCAGGTGGTTGAATGGGTTAGTACAGCAGCAGGGCCACGGTCAGAACTTCGATGGCAGGGGCCAGATCATTGGAGGAGTTTGTACAGGGTTAGTCTGTAGCAGGTGGCATGACCACCAAGGGGTCCAGAAGGCCACTGGCTCTCTCGCTAGTTTGGGATCAAAGAGATACTGGACAATACGGGAATTAACGGGCATTGTAGAGAGTTTGATCGTGGTTCCCGGCGTGCGGTACGAACCCCAAGTACCCTTGACAACTTACTTGCGATGCCTGCCTATAGACGTCAAAAATAAGTTGGTCGATGAGGCCCCCATCGACATGCACGACTTTGCTTCATTCAACAAGAAGGCCTTAGACATTGAGGCCAGGCTTGGGAGTGCCCAACATGGACCGGTAGATGGGAGAAAGAAGCAGCTCCCTCAAGATTGGAAGAAGGGCAACCTCATGTTCGTTGACCATGACGGTCAAGCGACTGAGATTGATGACTTTTTTKACCTTGGGGAAGTAATAGARTTGGATGCKGGTGGAGAC